TGTTGTAAAGGTTTTAGGAGTAATTAATGAATAACAATCCCCATTAAAGATTCTAGCCAGCTTTCCATGCCGCTTGCCTGGAGCTCACTGTCTGGCTGAGCTCCATGCTTTGCCAGGTTCTGTCTGAGGGCTGGCTGGAATCTTGAATTTATATTTCCCATTAAAACAACAGCAACTATTGGTAATTATTTAGAAGGTGACCCATGTAATTAAGAAATTACTTTACTAATTATTCAAGATTCCAGCCTGCCCCTCTGTCTCTTTGCTCCTCTGGCTGTCTAGCTGTCTCGGCAGCAAAGCATCAACCAGCTGAAAGGAGGACCTGCCTGTCTGGCTTTACTGATCCAGCTGCCTTTCACGACTGCCATCCAGTCCTGCCAACTCTCTGTCTGCTCTTTGTGCCTGTCTACGTCTGCCTGCATAGACAGCCAGCTGTCCTGGGAGAGTGCTGTCGAGATAAAGATGGAGGGGTTTGTGTTGGTGTATATATATATATATTTGTTTTTTTAATTTATTTATTTGTCAATGTCAAGTAATTAATTAAAATAGGAGGTGGATGTAGGAGGAGATATGTGTATAACTAATGGGATGAAAGTAAAAATGGATTTACTGGGGTTCTAAATTCTTTGCTGTCTGTAGGAGTGAGAATATTGCTGCCTAGCTGCTTGTCGCAGCTCCATACAACACACCTTCTTCCCCAGCAGGTGCATTTCTGTCTGTATGTCTTGCAAGGCTGCCAAAGCTGCCTGCAAGAGCTGCGTCTGCTGTGCCTTGGCTGCACAACTGGTTCCACCAAAAAAAAATGCTAAAACAGCTACCTGTTGTGCTAATCGCTGCCTGATGATTGGAGATCTGACTTGCCTGGCTGTAAATCACTGGCTACCTAGTGAAAGATGGATGGCTTTTTCAATCTGGCACGCTGGCTCGCGGAAACTCACCCCTCAAGCTGTGTGCCAAAAGCTCACAGCACTTGCTGCTATAGTAGAATATCCAATATCTCAATGTCTATATCTTTCTAATTATCTATCTATCCATAGACCTATCTCTCTAATTTGCTATCTAATTCATGTATCTATCTATCAATGGCAAATGAAGGTTGGATGCTCCACTTCGCTGGCTGCTGGACAGCTCCTGCAAAAGGCTATGCTGAGTGCCTGCACTGTCTGAGCTGGGTTTGGACCATGCCTATGACAATGGCTGACTGTGCTGTGGCACAGAGCCTTCCAATTAGGGAGATCACATGAATAGACTGTCTGCCCTTTCTGAGATAGCAAAAAAAATTGGAAGGCTCTGTCTCGCTTGAGGTGCACTCTTAGCTCCTCTTTCTGGCCGTGTTCTGACTTTCTTTTCTGCCACTGTGACTGCCTCACTTACTTTTCTTCTCTGCCTCTTTTGTTCCTTTGCCTGCCTGCTTCTCTGCCCAGCGCAGCATCTTGGCTGGGTTGCAAGCCAAACAGCCTGTCTTGCTATACTTGCACTTGCTGCAACCAAACTGCTCGTCCCAGCCTAGCTGCAGCTTGGTCTGTGCCACCTTGCCCTTTTTTTTCGTCTTCCCTGCTTCTTCTGCCTTGCTGCTGTCTGGAGGAGGCTGCTCTGGAGGAGGCAAGGAGGCAGCTCAGCTTCTGGCTGCTTCTCTGCTGCTTTCTTGGCCTCCAAAGCCTTTGCTGCCTTGTCTAAAGACTTCTGCTTCAGCACTGCTTCTTGCCAGGACTGAAGCTTCTGGCTCAGCTCCCCAACTGTCTGCCATGTGGACTGACTACATCCTAGGAACTCTCTGGCTTGTCTTTCCATGTACTGAAGGCACCAGAGGCCACAACTGAAACCGTCTGACTGGTGGAAACGGTTGCATGGCACTGGCAGCTCTGTCTCTGTCTGCAAACAGACTTGCAGCACTGTGCTAGCTGCTGCTTTGGCTGTTTCTGGCTGCATCTTGAGTGTGTCGAAGTACTGGACCTCTGGTTGTTCTTCTTTGCTGCTGCCTGCCTTGCTCAAAGAAAGCAGTGTCCAGTGCTGTGGAGCTGAGCTGTGGATTGGTACCAGCAGCAAAGTCTTGCTGTCTGCCAGGAAGTCTTCCATGGCTTTGCAAACTGCACCTGTCTCTGCTGCTAGCTTGCTTTGAGCTGGGGTTACCCATCGCACTGCACTGCCTGGCTTCAGTCTGCTGCTAATCTCTCTCCAGCCTGCCAAGAGCTGATCATCTGTCACCAGCTGGCCGAACTGGTAGAGATCCACTTGCTGCATCCAATCTGCCTGCAAAGACTGCCTGGCTGCATCCTTGAGCTGCTGTGGAGCCATTGTCTGCCTGGCTGTCTTTGGCAGCAAAGGGCATTCTAGATCTGCCTTGCAAATCCACTGGCTGCCCTTGCTCGGTATCTGGCAGAGGAGCTGGCTGCCCTTTGCTTTCTCCACTGTCACGACCAAGCCTTGCCAGGCTGCCTTTGCTGTCTCTCCAACAACTCTGCCTATGGCACCATGCCACTCTGACTCCTCTTCCTCTGCTTTCTCTGCTGCCTCTGCTGTCTTGATTGCTGCTGTCTTCTTGCTCTGCTTTTTCTTCCTTTTCTGCAAGTGACTGTACTTGAGCTTGGCACTGGGCTTCAACTTTTTGCCTGCTGTCTTGCTGCTGACTGGTCTGACTTGCTCCAATGCCTGCCTCTGTGCTTTGGAGCCCGCTTTCTGCCTCCACTTCTCAACAAGCTCTTTCTTGGCCTTCTTTCCTTTCTTCCTTCCTCTGGCTTTATCCTTTCTCTTCTGCGAGGCTACTTGGCTGACTGCATGCATCCATGGAGTGCTTGGCCTGGCAGAAGGTGTAACTAATTAGCCATGGAGTGGTTTCTTCAAAGATTGGAACCTAGAAGATAAGGACTTTAGAAAGGGAAATGCAAGGAGGTGAAGTAGTTTTTAGTATTAAGGTCTGGTGCTTAGTATTAGGGAGAACCTGCCTGGAGCTAGCCTGGCAGCACAGAAGCAGCAGTTTTAGTAAGGACTTTAGGAAGGGAAATGGAAGGAGGTGAAGTAGTTTTTAGTATTAAGGTCTGGTGCTTAGTATTAGGGAGAACCTGCCTGGAGCTAGCCTGGCAGCACAGAAGCAGAAGTTTTAGTAAAGACTTTAGAAAGGGAAATGGAAGGAGGTGAAGTAATTAGTTTTTAGTATTAAGGTCTGGTGCTTAGTATTAGGGAGAACCTGCCTGGAGCTAGGCTGGCAGCACAGAAGCAGCAGTTTTAGTAAGGACTTTAGAAAAGGAAATGGAAGGGGGTGAAGTAGTTTTTAGTATTAAGGTCTGGTGCTTAGTATTAGGGAGAACCTGCCTGGAGCTAGGCTGGCAGCACAGAAGCAGCAGTTTTAGTAAAGTCTTTAGAAAGGGAAATGGAAGGAGGTGAAGTAGTTTTTAGTATTAAGGTCTGGTGCTTAGTATTAGGGAGAACCTGCCTGGAGCTAGCCTGGCAGCACAGAGGCAGCAGTTTTAGTAAGGACTTTAGAAAGGGAAATGGAAGGAGGTGAAGTAGTTTTTAGTATTAAGGTCTGGTGCTTACTATTAGGGAGAACCTGCCTGGAGCTAGCTTGGCAGCACAGAAGCAGCAGTTTTAGTAAAGACTTTAGAAAGGGAAATGCCAGCTGGTGAAGTAGTTTTTAGTATTAAGGTCTGGTGCTTACTATTAGGGAGAACCTGCCTGGAGCTAGCTTGGCAGCACAGAAGCAGCAGTTTTAGTAAGGACTTTAGAAGGGAAATGGAAGGAGGTGAAATAGTTTTTAGTATTAAGGTCTGGTGCTTACTATTAGGGAGAACCTGCCTGGAGCTAGCTTGGCAGCACAGAAGCAGCAGTTTTAGTAAGGACTTTAGAAAGGGAAATGCCAGCTGGTGAAGTAGTTTTTAGTATTAAGGCCTGGTGCTTACTATTAGGGAGAACCTGCCTGGAGCTAGCTTGGCAGCACAGAAGCAGCAGTTTTAGTAAGGACTTTAGAAAGGGAAATGCCAGCTGGTGAAGTAGTTTTTAGTATTAAGGTCTGGGGCTTAGTATTAGGGAGAACCTGCCTGGAGCAAGCTTGGCAGCACAGAAGCAGCAGTTTTAGTAAGGACTTTAGAAAGGGAAATGGAAGGAGGTGAAGTAGTTTTTAGTATTAAGGTCTGGTGCTTAGTATTAGGGAGAACCTGCCTGGAGCTAGGCTGGCAGCACAGAAGCAGCAGTTTTAGTAAGGACTTTAGAAAGGGAAATGGACGGAGGTTGAAGTAGTTTTTAGGTATTAAGGTTCTGGTGCTTAGTATAGGGAAACCTCATGGAGCTGGCCTGCAGCACAGAAGCACGCAGTTTTAGTAAGGACTGTAGAAAGTAAAAGGGAAGGAGATTTGAAGTATGTTTCGTATGACGGTTGTGTCGTATTAGGGAGAACCTGCCTGGAGCTAGCCTGGCAGCACAGAAGCAGCAGTTTTAGTAAGAACTTTAATTAGAAAGGTAAATGCAAGGAGATGAAGTAGTTTTTAATTAGTACTAAGGTCTGGTGCTTAGTATTGGGGGGACCTGCCTGTATTCTATCTATCTGTCTATCTAATTGTCTATCTAATTATCTATCTAATTATCTATCTATCTATCCATCTAATTATCTAATTATCTATCTATCTATCTATCTATCTAACTAATTATCTATCCATCCATGAAACTGGCTGCACAACTGATTCCAATGCAACTGCTCTAATTAATTCAACTGTCTGTCTGCTGCCAAGCTGCTGCCTCTGCTGCCAGGGCTGCTTGCTGAGCTGCCTGCACTTGCTGGTCTGGCTGCGCTCCCTCAGGCTGAGTGACTGGCTGCTGGGCAGCTGGCTCAGCAACTGCTTGGACTGGCTGCGCGGCTGCCATTACTGCCCGTCTGTTTGCCCTTACTACTGACTGGCTTTGTTCTGCCTCGCTTTTTTTTGCTTGAACCAGCACACAATGGAGGCTAGCTGTCTGTGGACCTGACCCGCTGGAAAAAAAACTGGACAATTAATTATAAGGATCTTTATACAATGAATAATTAATCCCCTCCTCCTATATAATCCTTAAAAACATAAATTCAACATTGGTTCCCACTTTGGTTCCCTAATATTATGGATTCTAATTATCTGCCAAATAAATCTTATTGCCAGCATAATTATGAAAACCCTCATGATTACTAATTACATATACACATATAATTAATTGATTGTACATCTATTTACTTATTTGTAGCCATCATGAAGCCCTCATGAATAATTACTACATAATTATACACGAATGAATTGATTATATATATATATACACTTATAATTATATACATAATTATGCATCTAATTAATTAATTAGAATTACTTAGAAATCTGTATAAAATGAATAATCCCTTCCTCCATTCTAATGCATGAATAACTAATTAACATGACTTCGATTTGGTTCCCTAATAATAAATACCCCCCTAATACTAAAAACTACCTGCCGTGTTTTGTATTAGGGGGGGGGGTTAGTATTAGGAGGAAGGGATTAGATTCTATAGATGTAACGGGGCGGATATCATTTTAGAATGGGTCGAAAAGGGCTGAGCTGGTTTGAATTCAACTCCACCATCGCATCAGCCAAGTGAGAGGACAAAGTTGACATGGTTGCTCAGCCGCCTCGGATATTGCCGTGTCATGCAGCGCTTCATTGATCGCGTCAAAGATGCCCGTGAAGATTCTCATGTCCGATCATGGGATTGGTTGGTTGTATGATAAACTCGCGACTGAGACCTTAGGGAAGATGCTAACGAAGTGTCAGCTGGTCAAGCGTTGAGCCCCCAAAGGCCCAGACCAAGAGACAAAGGCGATGGCAAGGGTGGCAAAGGCAAAGCCAATGTGGCCAAGGGAGATAGCAGCTCCAAGGCTGATAACGAAGGAAAGACACAAATTGCTTTGCCAAGTTCCAAGGCAAGGTTTTCAAGAGCAGCCAAAGGCCACTCTTAAACCCAAAGGGTAAGTAAGGCTCCTGGCGGGCCGCCACCACATGCAAAAGCAAAGCCAAAGGCTGAGAAGGGCAAGCTCACGGACTCACGGTCAAGTGTTTGGTTGACCCGAATTTACAAGTGAGGTTGCAACTGTTTGTCCGTGCATGAAGGCCGGAGCTCCAGAGGCCAAGTCAGAGGCTCCGGCACCAAAGGCCGCCACTGTCAAAGCAGCTGTTGCCACTGTACTGATCAGCAGTATTCAGCAGTGCGATCCAGAAAGCTGACACAGCAGCAAGAACCAACATGTCCTTCACAGCTCCACGTCAGGACCCAGTGCTTCCGTGTGTGCCAGTAGTGGTTCGCAACTCCGAAGCCGCATGCATAGCATCAATAGGTATTGTCCATGACCTAGAAATTCTGGGGCCGGTTGTTCTCTTGCATCGATTCGCTCCCTTGCTAGTCAAAGTCCGAGGTACCCTGAAGATCTCATCCACAGTTGTTTGGAACCAGCACCAACCATCAAGTTTGAAACAGGAAATGGATGGAAATGGCACAACCAACAGCACAGAAAGTTTCCATTTTCATGGCAACAAATTTGGGTACCTACGAACATAAGATCTTAGAAAGCTGCGCTGTTGCTCGCAGAAGTCGTTCAAAGCGCACGACTTTTCATTCGGTCGGGAAACGAGCTGCCATACTTTGCTGAAAGTTTCAACAAGTACAGATCACATGTAACGGTCAAAGACTAATTGGTAATCGCGTTGAGGAGAATGTTCCTGTGTTCAAAGAGATTCTCCATCAAGGGCCAGCAGAAGCTGTAGCAGTGCGAAGTGACGCTGATTGTGAGGACTTGGCAGAAGAGCTTCTTGACCAGATGTGACGTTTGGTGCGAGATGCACAGTCTGCGGACCATCTCATCAATCACTGGTCACTTTCCGAAAAAGCGCGATCCATTGCTTAGACGGGGAACCTTGGATCCAGTCACGTATTTTAGGGAGCGCATAGCATAGCAACCGATTTCATAGTCGTCCACAAATTTGCATCAGGGAAATAAAATAATAATGCTCTCATAGGAACAAGTTTTGCAGATGGCTAAAGGCACATCCAATAACAAAACGTGAGGCGTCCACTGCAGTAGAACTTATTCAGCTTTCACGGTCATGCCTACAACCAGCCCTGCATAATGGTCAAGTCTGACCAGGCCAACAAAACACGCTTGTCTGCCCAACAGCGAACAATAGCGTGCTGCTCAAGCGAGACATTCGCACTCTCGAGGGGATCACCCGCGCATGTCACCTACAAGCGGGCTTATGGCCTCACTCCGTAGCCTATGCCGCAACCATGCGTCGAATGCAGGGCGATTCAGAGTTTGCAGGGCGGCGTTGTGGTGGGCACGAAGAACTTTTCGTTGAAGGATCAACTTTTGCTCAGTTAGATAGAATTTCCAGCAGTACCGCACAAGGCGGTGGCGGAAGTTTCAAAAATAGGAAACCTATAGGAGAGGTTGGTTGTTGTGAATCAGGGATGGCAGAGCGAAGCCACTGATGGACCGAAAGGCGCTTGAGGTCTCCTGTCTTTCTCTCTCCTTCGCTCTTTTTCTCTCTGTTTCTCTATCTTTCTCTGATTATCTACCTACCTACCTGGTGTGTTTTGTACATTTTGACTTGCAAATTGCAAATGTGCTTCGCGCCACAACGGCGTGCAATTTTTCATCTCTCATCTGGCCAGCTGGCTCCGCACCCGCCGCTTTAGCGAGCCTACTTTTCGACCCTCCGGAGCCACAAAACATCGTAAAAACACAGTGTTTCGCGACTTTCCTACCTTTTCGCGCATCTGCATCTTCTTTCTTCTT